CCCCCCCAGTAACTGCCCCCCCCCCCCCCCCCACGTTTGTAACTAGGGATCCGACATAAGTCGCATTGATGTAACCCGGGGACTGCCTGTATGACACAAGATTTTCAAAAATGACACATAATTTTAGGTACCCACATTTGTGAGTGCCCAACCTGAATCATCTTGAGACTGTTTTTAGTTCAGAACATTCTCTTCATCTGCCCTTTGCAAATAAGTATTCACTTTTGAAAATTTTAACTTGGATATCTGTGGCTTTCCATAGGTAAAAGTAAACGGGTGCACCCCAGTGCGCAGATCCACCAAGAGCTGACTAAGCTACCGCAAAAACCAGCAGAGAGCTATCTAAAGATCTGGCAGAGACCGGGGCTGCGATAGGACAGTACCTATAAGACATTTAAGTTACTTTCAGCCCTGTAAATTGCACCCCTACTCATGTTTAGATAGGCATTGGCCAGGGCTGCAAAGACTCCAAATACAGGTTGCATATCATCTATAAACTGGCAATATCCATGGTCCAGCAGGAACACTGATGTTCCATGATCAGAGTCCCAGTGTGCTGTGGGGAGTGGTGGGGGGCAGGAGCCTGGTGCTATGCAGGGGGTCAACATGCAGCTCAGCTGTGATGCAGGGAGAGGGGCTGAGAAGACCAGCACACAGCTCAGCTGGGCTGTGGGGAATCCAGGAGCTAACAAGTGGCTCATTTGAGCTGGCGGTGGATGGGGAGGGAAGTGGGCAGGAGCCAGGAAGTCTAGCACGTGGGTTAGCTAGGCTGCTGAGAGAAGCCAGGAATCCTGTAGGGGGTGAGGTAGGGCAAGAGGTGGGGCCAACAGCAGAGGGCAAATTTCCTGGTCTGGCAAAATTCCTCATCCAGGACCAGTCAGGTCCTGAGAGTGCCGGACTAGGCAGGTCCAAACTGTACTCACAATCATAGCTGCTAAGCACCTCTGAAAGATTTCTAAATGCTGGTCTGTGTGAACATCACATTTTGGGTACGTCTAGACTACAGGCTTTTGTCAACAGAGGCTTTGTCGATAGATACTGTCGACAAAGCCTCTGTCAAAAAAGAGTGTCTAGACTACAACCAGTTCTGTCAAAAAAAGCAAGCCGCTTTTTCAACAGAGAGTCTAGACACTCTCTTTTGAAAAAGCACAGTGTGGATGCAATAGCACCTTTTGTCGACAGAACTCTGTCGACAAAAGGCGTTATTCCTTGTAGAATGAGGTTTACTGCCATCGACAAAACTGCCGTGACAGTAAGTCGACAGAACTTGGCGGTAGTGTAGACGCAGGTATAGTTTTGTCATTAACAAAACCCTGTAGTCTAGACACACCTTTAATGTTCTGTGAAACAGATATTGGCTGGTCTATCTGAAGCCTGCAGTTTTATATAGCACTGGTTACTCATAATTTCTCTCATCGGTCCAACCTTGGTAATGATGCTCATGTATGTTCCCAGCCATACACTTATCACATCCCAAAAAACCAACTTAGGTTGTGAATTGCACCTGAGATTTTGAAGCTTCTAATGCAATGAATAAATGCTGTCCCCAAAGTCTTTTAGAATATTCTAGAGTTAGCAATTGTTTTAGAAACTGTACCATGTCTTTTTCTTCCCAAACACATTTCTAACATCCTTTCTGATGCACAGGTTTTGTTTCGGAGAAAGATACCATCAAAGAAGCATCGTTTGCCAATATGATATGTGTGAAGACCAAACCGTGGATAAAAAGTCCATTCTGAGTCTGGGTCCCTCTTCTTTTCTGGAAGAAATGTGAAACACACAGGGAACAGCGGTGAATTCACACTTTAAAAGTCCACCTTAAACATTGCTTATTTCTTGAGTAATATTTTTAGAGATTCCCTTTAATAATATGAACATCCACAGTTGCAGTAGTTAGCTCACACTGATCTCTCTGTATATCTTTGTCTACACACAAAGGCTTAGTTTACACTGCAGGGTTTTTGTGCAAGAAGCCTTTTGCAGAAGAGTTCTTGTGCAAAAACTTCTTATGCAAAAGAGCGTCCACACCTCAAAGCGCATTGCAAAAGCAATGTGTTTTTGTGCAAGAGAGCATCCACACTGCATGGACACTCCTGCGCAAGAAAGCTCTGATGGCCATTCACAGAATGGCCATCAGACCACCTGTGCTTTTTCTGACAGGGGATTCCTGCACTAAACTCCTTCTGGAGCGTCCACACCTGCCTTTTTGCGCAAGAGCTGTAGCGCAAAAATGAGTTATTCCTCATGGGGAGACAAATAACTCTATCAGCAAAAGCCCTCTGTTCTGCCGATTTACTTGCACAAAAACATGCTAGAAGTGTGGATGCTTCACCATTTTTTGCACAAAAAACTTGTAGTGTAGACATAGCCGAAGGGTGTTACAAGGAGGAGAGAGAAAATTGTTCTCCTTGATCTCTGATGATAGGACAAGAAGCAAGGGGCTTAAATTGCAGCAAAGGAGATTTAGGTTGGACTTTAGGAATAACTTCCTGTCAGGGTGGTTAAACACTGGAATAAACTGCCTATGGAGATTTTGGAATCTCCATCACTGGAGATATTTAAGAGCAGGTTGGATAGACAGCTATCAGGGATGATCTGGATGGTGTTTGGTCCTGCTGTGAGGGCAGGGGACTGGACTTGATGACCTCTTGAGTTCCCTTCCAGTTCTAGTGTTCTATGGTTCTGTGTCTATTCTGACCAACCACCATATATCATCCCAGAAGGCATTTGTCTAAATTGCTCTTTAAAATCTCCAATGAAGGAGATGCCACAGTACTTAAACACCCTGACAGTTAGGTAGTTTTTCTTACTCTATGTCTACACTGCCATTTTTTTGCAGCAGAAGATATACAAATCGTGCTCTCATTTGCATATCTTCTGCTGATCCTTTTTGCACAAGAGATTTTTGTGATAGAAAGCCCCGTGTAGACAGGGCCATTTGTCGGGAAAAACAAAACCTGTTTTGCAAGATCCTGTAAACCTCATTTTTTTGAGGAATAAGGGAGTGTAGATGAAGTCTTATTGTCCAACCTAAATCTCCCTTGCTTCAATTTAAACCCATCGCATTTTGTCCTAACATTGGTGTCACGGGGTACGCCCCTGGCGTGGGATGCGCCCCCCTCTTAAGGACCCGTTGCCCGCTCTATTAGGGTGAATACAACCCTAAAGGTCAGCGGCCTAAGGGTTACTAGATGGGGCAGTGAGTCACACTCAGCAGTTGTGTGGGTTCCATGGACACAATACTCCAGTTGAGGCCTAATAAGAGTGGTGCGGAGGCAGTCAAAGGACAGAGTGGTATGACTGAAGCAATGAATTAGGAAGATGATGTTGACTAAGTTGTACAAGGTTGCAGTACTTATATCCAAAAAAGGAGGTTGCAGCAGTCAAGACATGGCATGATGAACATGTGGACAGTGCTTTGGAAGTTTAGACAGAAGAAAAAAACTGAATTGTTTAAGGAAAATGTGACATGATTTGCATATAGCCTGAAATCTAGAGAAAGCAATGTCACAAATGACACCCAGGTTCCAGGCCTGAGTGCCTGGAAAGATGATGGTATTGCTAGGGACAAAGAAACAGAGTTTAAATGGGAAAAAAAACGGTGTGAGATCAGTAGTAGGTTCTATCTGTGTGTGAAACAACATCTGAACTATGTTGCAAATAAATTAGCTCTTCTTGTTATCCTTTACTCAAGTGTGGGAGGCTGCTGAAATCTGATCTTACCAGGAGGCATAATAAATTGTTGGGTTTCAGGTGATGGTTTGATTGCAGGTAGTGGACCATCAGTGTGCTGAGAGGAAGGTGAAAGGGAAAGCCTGGACTTCAGTTCATGCTCATGGCTAATAAAAAAATAAAAGAGACGAGAGAACAGTTATTTCCTGGTAATCACTGAGCTGCAGAAATTATGATTAAGCATCTGCCAATACTTCACATACTTAGAACAAGAAGTCTCTGTAGAATGGGTAGAAGGTCGGCTGAGACGGTCTTGACTTGTGCTGTCAAGGGATGTGTGCTGATGCTCATTAAGTCTGTTGCATTTCATTGTATGGCTCCTGACCTCAGGAAGGTAGACAGGCTCACTGACTTGGGACCCTGTAATACATATCTGATCTCTAACAACGACTTTTAGAGAGACTGCTACAGTTCCGAAACTCATTTCCTGCTTGGTAGTAGAGTGTGCATAGTAAAATGGCCTGATGTTCCTCTGTCTTTGTCAATGGGGCTACAGCAGAGTAAAACTACAGTAAATGAGAGGAGAATCAGACCTACAGTCTTTAAGTTTTTCCTAACATTTTTATCTATTGATTTCTAGCAGACCCTGGAAGCTTTTGCTGTTCACATGCACCAAAATACCTTCTATCACCTCAAGTATATATCTGCAGCCTGGAGTACTTTCTTTCCTCAAGATTGGCAGGCTCTTTCATCCTCTAAAGTCTTTCTGAACAGAACCTGTAAGTACAACTGGATTTATAGCTTCTAGACTGTCAGCTGATGGGTCTGGTTTCTAAAAAGTTTATCCTGTGTAATTGCCTGGATTGGAAAAAATCATGAGTTTACCCAGGACAAGGGAACCAAATCCCTTTTCAAACATTGAAACATCCTGCCAACAACTTAGTGACACCCCCACATAGAAAGATGCCTTTTCTGGTATCTGACATTTTTATTTTCACAGTCCTCTTTTGCAGACCTCTTAGACATAGTCTGTGGACCACGGGTTAAAAACCACAGGTTCAGATTCCATCAGTTCTTTCACTCTTAATTATGAGCTGCTCAGAGGAAGGACCATGTGTGCTTTGTACAGCATCCGGCACAATGGGGTTTAAGAGCTTTGGATGTTACCACCAATAGAAATAAATACAATAATAATCCTGAAGCTACACTACCGCAATGTGATTATGCCCCACAGGTTGAATACAAACACTACTTTTGCCTTACTCCCCCAAACCTTATCATCCTCACCACCTTGTGATGCAGAATTGCCCTCTGGTTTTTCCATGCTACTTCCCTCGCTTGCGATAAGTTCTGCTTTATTCTTGGAGGGCATGGTGTTTCATCACATCTCTGTGACACCCAGCTCGCTCTGGGGTCTTCAGCTCTCCAGAGACCAATGTGCAGGAGGAGTGAGGGGTCATGATTCAGGGATAATTATGCCAGCTGGAACAGCTTATTGTGTTGTCTCTTGGGTGTCAAGGAAACGGGAGATACCAAACTCACTGAATAAGGGGGTGATCGCATGAGTCTGCTCCCTCATGTCTACTCCACACCCAGTTTCTTGTGGAATCTCATGGGGCTGGTGGATTTGCAGGCTCAGAGACAAAGCCTGTTCACATTGCCTAAATCCTGGTCCCAGAAAGAGGCTGGGGTCCACATGATGAGCTAGGTGGCTTGTAACATAAAATAACATAAGAATGGCCATATTGGATTAGACCAAAGGTCCATCCAGCCCAGTATCCTGCCTTCCGACAGTGGCCAGATGCCCCAGAGGGAGTGAACTGAACAGGTAATCATCAAGTGATCCCTTTCCTGTCATCCATTTTCAGCCTCTGACAAAGACTAGTGAGGGACACCATTCCTACCCATCCTGGCAAATAGATTCATGGAGGTTAGGTCCATCAATGGCTATCTAGCTCTTTTTGGAGCCCTGTTGAAGTCCTAGTCTTCACAATATCCTCTGGCATGTGTGAAGGTTTACTGTGCAGTGCATGAAGAAAAGCGTCCTTTTGTTTTAAATCTGCTGCCTATTCATTTCATTTGGGGACCCCTAGTTCTTATATTATGGGAACAAATAAATAAGTTTTCCTTATCCACTTTCTCTATACCTGTCATGATTTTATAGACCTCTACCATATCCCCCCTTAGTCTCCTCTTGTCTATGCTGAAAAGTCTCAGTCTTTTTAGTCTCTCTTCATATGGCACCTGTTCCAAACCCCTGATGATTTTGGTTGCCCTTTTCTGAACCTTTTCCAATGCCAAGGTATCTTTTTTCAGATGAGGCAACCACATCTGTACACAGTATTCAAGATGTGAGCCTACCATGGATTTATACAGGGGCAATAATATATTCTCTATCTTATTCTCTATCTGTTTTTTAATGATTCCTAACGTTGTTTGCTTTTTTTGACTGCTGCTGCACAATGAGTGGATATTTTGAGATAACTATCTATCCACAATGACTCCAAGATCTCTCTCCTGAGTGGTTATAGATAAATTAGTCCCCATCATTTTGTATTGTATAGCTGGGATTGTTTTTTCCAATGTGCATTACTTTGCATTTATCAACATTACATTTCATTTGCCATTTTGTTGTCCAATCACCTAGTTTTGTAAGATCCTTTTGAAGCTCTTTAAGGTCTTAACTATCTTGAGCAGTTTAGTATCATCTGCAAATTTTGCCACCTCACTATTTAACCCTTTCTCCAGATAATTTATAACAACTTTGAATCAGATTGGTCCCAGTACAGACCATTGGGTGACACCACTAGTTACCACTCTCCATTGTGAAAACTGATAATTTATTCCTACCTTATGTTTCCTGTCTTTTAACCAGTTATCAATCCATGACAGGACTTTCCTTATTATCCCATGACAATTTACTTTACTTAAGAAGAGCCTTTGGTGAGGGACCTTGTCAAACGCTTTCTGGAAATCTAAGTACACTATATCCACTGAATCCCCCTTGTCCACATGCTTGTTCACCTCCTCACCAGTAGATTAGTAAGGCATGATTTCCCTTTACAGAAACCATGTTGACTTTTCCCCCAACAAATTATGTTAATCTATGTGTCTGACAATTCTATTATTTACTATAGCTTCAACTAATTTGCCCAGTACTCATGTTAGACTTCCCAGTCTGCAATTGCCAGCATCACCTCTAGAGCCCTTTTTAAATATTGTTGTCACATAAGCTATCTTCCAGTCTTTAGGTACAGAAGATGATTTAAAAGATAGGTTACAAACCACCGTTAATAGTTCCTCAATTTCACATTTGAGTTCTTTCAGAACTCTTGGGTGAATGCCATCTGGTCCCAGTGACTTGTTACTGTTAAGTTTACTAATTTGTTCCAAAACCTCCTCTAATAACACCTCAGTCTGGGACAATTCCTCAAATTTGTCACCTAAAAAGAATGTCACAGGTTTGGGAATCTCCCTAACATCATCAACCATGAAGACTGAAGCAAAGAATGTATTTAATTTCTCTGCAATGAGCTTATTGTCTTTGAGTGCTCCTTTAGCATCTCAATTATGCAGTGGCACCAATGGTTGTTTAGCAGGCTTCCTGCTTCTGCTGTACTTAAAAAACATTTTGCTATTACTTTTGGAGTTTTTGGCTAGCTGTTGTTTGGACTCCTTTTTGGTTTTCCTTATTCTATTCTTATACTTAATTTGACAGAGTTTATGCTCCTTTCTATTTTTCTCACTAGGATTTAACTTCAATGTTTTAAACGATGCCTTTTTATCTCTCACTGCTTCTTTTACTTGTTTCTCAACTCACAGCAGGATATTTTTGGTTCTCTTACAGTGTTATTTAAGTTGGGACACTATTATGGTGTCTTTGAAAAGTTTCTAGGGGCTTACAGGGATTTTACTTTTGTCACTGTGCCTTCTAATTTCTGTTTAACTAACTTCTTCATTTTTGTGGAGTTCCCCTTTCTGAAATTACATGCCACCATGTTGTGCTGCTGAGGTGTTTTTCCCACCATAGTAATGTTACATTTTATTAAATTAGCTATTTCCAAGCAGTCCCGTTATATTTACCTTTTGGACCAGATCCAGTGTTCCACATAGGACTAAATCAAGTATTTCCTCTCCTCTTTTGTCTTGTAGTGTCATGGGTTTCTGACTGAACAACTTAACCCAGTTGTGGGAGCTACCCCTCCTCTGGCTCAATGATGTCCCTTCTTGAGTCTTCCCCAAAGGACAAGGAAGGACAGGGGATGATACTGAGAAAATAGGGGCAAGGGTTTCAGGAAGAAGGGTAAGAAATTAAAGTGCCTATGTTTGGTCTTATGATCTGGGAAGTTCTGAGGGCAATAGCCAATCAGAGCATGGGGGTTTATAGTAGCCAAACACAGCAGAGGTCTGAAAGGATGGCAAGCACATTTCAGTTTACTGTTAAAAGAACCATACAACAATAACTCAGTAACAACCATATTCTGGGCTAAATAAACTCTGCAAGGCAGCAACGTTTGGGATACGGTTATTGATCTGGAACCCGGAAGAATCTACAATATTTCATTCAATGGTCAATAAGTATCGTTGTTGTTATTCACTTTTATCATGACTTTTATTTGACATGTCTCATGCCTCAAACTACAAAAGATAAGGCATGGGATGATATTATAGGACATGGGGGATTACTGGAGATGAAAGCAAGATGGAAGGATTCCTGAAAAAATAAGTCAGTTTTAGAGTGGAATCTGAAGGCAGGGCCTGAGAGAGAACACTTGAAGGACAAAATAGAGAGACTGTCCAAGTTTAGGAACAGCTTACACATGTTTTCTAGGTGACCCTTGCAAATCCTCTGGCAAGCATTCATGCCTGAAACACTTCTATCACCAGCATTTTAAAGTGGGTGAGGCTACATGGACTTGTATAGCTCATGTGCAATTACCAGTGCTCTAGATGCCAGAGCCTGGGCTTTGAGAAAATAAGCTGGAATTGGTTGATTCCCCACCCGGTCGCTTTTTCCCCTTTTTCACTTGCCACCCCTGACTTCCACCAAACAGCCCTAGCTCTGCTGACACTTTCAGCTGACAATGACATGTCCTGTAAAAGAGGAAGCACTGTAGTGCAGTCATTTTCAACCTTTGCCCACCTCCCATTTACAGGCCCTAAAATTTTGAATGGAAGTGCATATCCCTTTGGGAATCGTAGAGTTAATCTGTGGACCCCAAGGGGTCCATGGACCACAGATTGAAAACTACAGTGAACTAAGGATCAGCAGTGCTTCCTTCTCCTCTAGAGGGATCACGTTGTTAGGTTCCAGGTTACCGTGGAGCTTGTTAAGGCGAAGCACTTAAGAGTCAGCAGTGAGGAAGATCAATTATTTGCATGTCTGCATGGTATGACTCCTACAAAGCAAAGGCCAGACTGGCAAGCCTAGTACCAAAGGGAAAGCTACCCAAGTTGGAATATGGCAGAGTGCCTAGGACAGAATTAGTTACTGTTTGTAAAGCAATGTGAAAGATAGGACGCATTATAAAAGAGTTGGGAATTTTTACTCTTACAAGAAGTCCAGGCTGGGGCCAATGTGTACTCAGTATGTTACATATATACTGTGTTTTCATTTCCAGCTGCCTTTCTCTTTCGGTTTCTATTATCACAAGATTTGTTTTCTTCGCTGCCTTCTTTGTTCACTTGGACATGAAGCAACAGCGTTAGAGTTTGAGTTGAATCCTATGACCCAGGACGTTCGTACAAGTTTCAAAGTAAGCAAGCACATGTGTCCAGCTTTCAGCATTATATGATACTCAGGCATAGTGAGGACATAAATAAATGTCTCACATGAGACTTCTGCCGGCATAGCCATCTTAGTCAGGGATGTGAAGACGAGCGGCCCCTGTGCCAGCAGAAGTCAGTAGTAATGTGGATGCAACTATGCTGACTAACCATAGGTGATTCATGGTAGCATGCAGGGGGTACGCTGCCCCCCTGTGCCTCTTCCAAAATTTCAATTGCTAACTGGGGTGCTCCCTCAAACTTCCCGCAATGTCTCTTTGGGTGGCCCTCCCTCAACCCAGGTGCTAGTCATCTCTGCTGGCACCACTGCACTTTTACTTATATCAGTATAAACTTATTTGTTTCTCTCATAAGCAGGGCCAGCCCACAACATTTTGGCACCAGAGGCGGGGAGCTCAAATGATGCCCCTTGTCCCCTCGCTTGGGCCAAAACTTTGAAAGGTTTCAATTCTGCCTTCTTCCTGTTCTACTCCTCTCATGGTACTGCTCTGCTACCTACATATGCACCAGCAGCAGACACAATTTTCTACACTCTGGGTCCTAGTAGTGCCTTCCCCCACCTCCCCACAGTATGGCATCAGAGGCGGCCACCTCAGTTCACCTCATGGTAAGGCCAGCCCTTCTCATAAGGTGGTTTCACTGTGGAAAACACAGCTTTGGTGGGCTAGCTGCATCCACGCTAGCAGCATATCAATATTCTTATACTGGTAAAGAACTTGTACTTTAGACGTGCCCGCAATACAGCAATGTTTGAAAGGCAAAAGGGGCCAGTTAAAAGTTTCTTTTAATTGTATTATCCTTTTACAATAAGTAAACTACAGAGCTGGGGTAACTCTATTGACTTCACTAGGGTTACTCCTATAAGAATGTTCCCGAGACTCACCAGTGTGAGACAAAAGTCAGGCCGAATCATTGTGTAACGCCGACAGACCCCAGTTGTTTGCAGGTGGAAGAAAACGTGGGACTACTGAAGCTTAGTGTATCAGCCTCCATCGTTTGAGCTAAAAGCCATCTGGCTATTAGCTAAGGCTGTAGCACAGACTCATTATTCTTTCTGTATAAGTGGTCTCAGAGGCACTGGATGGGACAGTACACAACACCCAGGAGGTATGCTGAATACAACCGTAGTTATTTCACACTTACTCATTATGGCCTACTTTGGGTATGACAAAGGTAAATAAGTATTCTTTGAATACATGTGCCCTTTAAGTGAACTGATTTAAATAAGCTTCAGGAGGTAGCTGAGTTAGTCTGTACAGGATAAACTTTAAAAACAACAAATGGGCTGGTATCATTTTATAGATTAATAAAATAAGTGGCATTGTACTCCAGCTGCTGTACTACAGCACCTATTTTCTATATATAAAATTACCTTCATCTTCTAGGAAAACATGTTTTTATTCTAGTTCTCTATTGAAAAATAGAGAATAACAGTTATCATCCTCCTAGTGGTACTAGGGTCAACATCATTCTTTTGCAGATCCTTATTATCAAACCCCAGATCCAAACAAATCTAAACTTTCAGAATCTTCAGGTTTGGAACAACATCAGTTTTGTGGCTTGGGTTCATCTCTACTATAAATATCAGGCTAGATTCTGAGTGCACTTACAAGGGTGTAAATGAGGATTAACTCTGTTGACATCAATGGGCTAACCCCTGTATTCCTGGACTTTGTGTAGTCATTTACATATTGAATGCAAACTGGTTGTAAACTGTTTCTCTTATGGTATAATAGACTTGCAACTCACAGGGCACAGATGTAAATGTAAAGGAGAATTAGACCCAATGCTTTAATTTCATGTTTAGTACAGAACACTACAATGAATGCAACTTGATGCTGAGAGCTTTTGAAAATCTGACACCATTTGTGGCTAGAAGGCTCTGAGTTCTTTCAAAAGCCTGGCACTTAACATCAATTGAAAGTAATTCCACTAGGGTGCGCAACTGGCACAATATTTTCTTCTTTTCTTTCTTGGTGTTTGCAGGCTATTAAAATGAATGCATGTTTCAAAGAGGTAGGATTTGTAATTGTAGAACTGTATTAACATACTGTAAATGAAACATTGAATCAATAGGCCAAGTCCAAAACTCCTGTCTTTTGTAGGGAGATGTGTGAGCTATTCCTCGTGGAATTCTGACGCAATATAATATAATTTTTCACTAGTGTTATGAAAGGGGAAAAGGAGGAAATGTTTGTCACCAATAGCAACATGCAGTTTTTATTTACATCACAAAACCAAAAAAGTGCTTGTCTCTGAGGAAAGGAGACAGTTGCACAAGCCCAGGATTAAGAATAAAAGGCAAACGGTCGAGTGAGAGACAGTGTGTCTTGAGGTCAGAGTAAGGAGAGTGAGAGCCAGAGCTTCTTTTTAGACTCTGCTGCTCACTAGCTCTTTGACCTGGAGCAAGTCATCTAAACTTCCATGCCTCATCTTGCCCATCTATAAAGTGAAGACAGCAATTCTAATTTATTTCACAGAGATATGGTGAAGCTTAATTGGTTTTTATGTTGCAACATGCTGTGAGATCCCTAAATGATAGACTGGTACTTTAGGGCTTGTCTACACTTGAAAGGCTAGCAGCATAGCTGCACCATGGCAGTACATCAGTATAGACCTGCGATGGGCAACCTAGGCTGGTGAGTGAACTACTTGAGTGGCCTTCCTTCATCTTAGTGGGCCTCAAGACTAAGATGGTAACTTTGGTAGGAAAAAAAGACGGAAAACAGTGAAATCTGACAATCCTGTGCTTTGGCAATGGTAAACAAAATATTTCTTGGGCCACACATAGAACCCTCATGGACCATATGTGGCCCGGGGGCTACAGGTTGTCTTCCACTAGTGTAGACTGGTTTCTCCCATTCACCTCCCCCCCGAGGCAGTAGCTAGGTGAACAGAAGAATTTGTCCATTGACCTAGTGCTGTCTAATTAGAAACTTGGGTCAGCTTAACAATGCCACTTAGGGTGTGTATTTTTTACACCCTTAAGCTAGGTAGTTATGCTGACCTAATTTTCTAGTGTAGACCAGGCCTTAGATTGGTAAAAATTGACCAGTGAGTGGAAACGAGTATGGGGTCTTTATGAGATCAATACTGGAATGCTGAGAATAGTTCTAGAGCCACATTTTGAAAAGGAATGTTGAAAAACTGGAGAGGGTACAGAAATGCATCACAAAAATGAATCAAAGTACTCTGCAATGGGAGAGTTAAGGCTCAGTGTGTTCATTTTATCAAAACCGATTGAGATGACTTGACGACAAGTGTCTTCATAGGAGAAAAGACACTATGAAAAGTCTCTTTAACCCAGTGGAGAAAGGCATGAGAGGAAACATGGGCTGGAATCTGAAGCCAGACACATTCACATTAGAAATTAGGCATAAATGTTTAACATTAGGGGTGGTTCCCTATTGGAACACATTACCAAGAAAAGTGATCTCCATCTCTTGATGACTGCAGAGCAAGACTGGTGCCTTTCTGGAAGATTTGCTTTTCCCAGACACAAATTACAAAGGTCAACACAGGAGGTGAGACTAGATGATCTAATGGCCCCTTCTGGCCTTAAAATACCAATCTAGATTATTTATCAGGTGTTCAGCTCTCCTTCATAATACAATATGTCCTGCATTATGACATGCTGGAACTTGGTCAGGTCAGGTTACCCTGTAAATATTCCCAGTGGTGATTCAATTTGAATTTAACCAGGCTGGTATACACAGAAGTCTGGTGGAAATTTTAAAACTTGATTGAATGATTGGTTGCCTCAGTAACGCAATGGAACTTCAGGAAACCACATTCACACGAAGCTAGATAAAGGAGCTTTCCCCTACCCATCATGCTCTGATGCCAGGGAAAGGCGGAGTAATTTGCTAACAATGTTAAATATTTATATTTAAGGGCCTTTTTCTTTAATATTTGGAATCTAGATCTTTTTCAAAATTCAGTATTTATAAAGCAACTTGATAGCGAAGAACCATACAAATACTTCACTGTGATGTAATCTCATTATTATTTATTAGTTGCATTATGTCTAGGAGTCCTAGTTAGGATACAGGACCCCACTGTGTTAAACACTGAATAGACACAGCACAAAAAGGCCTCGAAGACTTTACAATCTATTATATAATTTGAAGAGGTTTTTTGTGGATTTGTTTGTGCAAAATAAAGTCATACTTCATGATTACCTGCAAATACCAAATTTTGCATAAACAATCCTGCAACTTAAATAAGATGACTGCACTACTTTTTATACTGGAATATGTTGGATGAAAGGTTTAAATACTTATTTTTGGTTTTCATCGGAAAAAAGTCATGACTATTATGATTAGAGTTCATAAAATATATTTGCTAACAAAATTAAAATTGAGTCACCTATTAAACTGTCATTTTAGTGCAAAGAAAATTCTTATGGTTACAAATCACAAAATAATTCACATTAGTTATGGAAAGAGTAATGGAAATTTTAATGTAAGAACATAAGAACAGCCAGATCAACGATCCATCTAGGCCAGTATCCTGTCTGCTGACAGTGGCCATTACCAGATGCCCCAGAGGGAGGGAACATAAAAAGTAAACATCACGTGATCCCTCCCCTGTCACCAATTTTATGAATTTCTGATTGAAATTTACTATGTGTGGTAATTATTCAATAAAATTAAGAATGTTTGCAATTGAAATCCTACAAATTTAAAACTGTTTTTCTACTTCCCTTTTGCAAGCACATTAATAAAAAAAACCTATTACATATATTTAATTTTTTGAACTTTCCAGTAAGTGTAATCTACTCAAAATTACTTTGCCCAGTCACCAACGGGCCTCACTTGCTAGTCTCTCATATTTGTTCATTAGTAAATAATAATTTACTATGTATTTGAGAGACTTTGTCTGTTTGTTCCAGAACACCTTCTAAATGGTAAGGACTAATGTAACCCACATACCTAATGGCTGTGTCTAGACTGGCAAGTTTTTCCGC